AGCCCGGCGAGTTCTCTGTGAAAATAGAGAAATAGGTCGGTATTCATTTAAGATTGGGCCCTTGCTACCATCAAGTATAGTCTTAAATTGGTATAGTCTTAAATAGCCTTAGATTAGCCGTCCTAATATAGTTGTGGTCCACTTGGTACGGAATTTCTGCAACCTGTTGACTCAATTTTAAATTAACACCACGTATCTTCATTCTTCTGATTTGTCACAGTCTTCGGTAGGAAATTTCATTGGATTTCTGTTGAACTCAATTAGTTTTTGACGAATTCTATTAACAGCGAATTAAAAAAAAGTCATAGAAAGCAACGTTTCCTGAAATTTCCTCTCTTCAGATATTTTCTATAAAATTTAAATCAATAGAATTAGTAATGGAGTTGAATGAAATTCTGTTTATTTACTTATTCCATACTTTCTATTGGAAACCTCAATCGGGAACTTTTATTTTTTTAAAGAATTTCTATAGCAAATATGTCAATTAAATCGACGAACAAGTTCAATAGGAATCCAATTAAACAATCTAACAAATTAGACACGTTTTCTATTAAATTATTATTATTATTATCATTTTCTTATCGGTGTGGGTTCTTTTTTTAAATATCTGCAGTGAAGGAATAAAGGAGATGGTTTTATTTTTTTCGCGCTACCTTTTTGAAATAGCTTCGAAACAAAGGAGATAATTAAATTTTTGTTAAGAAATTTCCTCTAGAGCTCACTCAGAGCTATGAAAAGGTTATACGAATTCCATTATTTCCTTTAGTTTCACAAACATTTGCGAAAAAGTCAGTAAATTAATTAACTTATCTCCTTCAATATATCGCTACTGATATTTTTCTCTCGTTATTATTATTATTATTATTATTTTATTCATTGGAAATTTCGGATGATAGGGAAGTGCGAAATTAACGAGTGGCGTTGCGCCAGTGGCCAGTGCATACCGGAGATTTACAGATGCGATGGAAAAGTTCAATGTCGCGATGGATCTGATGAAGAAATTTGCGGTAATTATTTTTATAGGGAGAGCATAATAATCAGTTTATCTGATTTCTTTTTGCATCCTTCGATTTAAGTAAGCCTGTGAATAAAAAAAAATTAATTGGTAACGAAGAGGGAGAGGCAATGAGTTTTCTAATTCCAAATATCTCAGAATCTACGAGAGATAGAGAAATTTTTTTCAAAACCAATCTTGCAGAGTAAAATGAGAGCAACAAAAAAGTATTAACAAAAATTTCAGTATCGCTCTTCGAATTGGAGATATTATTCGAAAACTTGCTCATTACCTAAATCGATTCGTTACCCCTTATCTGGGCGTTACTGAAATTTTTCAGTAGATCAAAAGAACGAAAACTTCAATAATAATTGGGCCAATAAAAAAAATAAACTCTAGATGAAGTATTATTCTCTCTGTGCGGTCTCGCTCATTAAAACCTCATGAACAGAGT